ACTTTCGTGACATTGACTACAGGGTCAGCGCTTCCAACTACCACAGGCAGCAAGGGGAAGGGGAAGATGAGAGAAGATATCACTCCCCTGCCCACTCCACCTCATGGCAGACAAGTAGTGGGGCCAGTTCTATACTCACCCTTGGGGGTCAGCTCAGCCATGCCACTGCCACCATGACCAGATCCACTGTGCTGCCACAGGCAAGGGGCAGGGCCATTTCTTCAGAGTGCTGCATCCAGTGAGGGTCAGGGACAGTTCCTGCACAGCCCCCGGACACCCATGCGGTCCCAGGTGACTGTCTTGACCGGGGACATCACCATATTGGCAATATGAGCCACGGACATTGACACCAACCAAGGCTCAAACTGTTCTGCTTCTCTTCCTCTCCCATCTGTCCATCACACAGTTGAACACTGTAGTGGCTCCTGCTGCAGGCCACGTGTCCATGGCCCACTGTGCTGTGTGGTGGAGGTCGTGTCTGTGGGCATCTTTACCTTCCCACACCGTGTGACATGGCGGTCGGCCGGCAGGTCTCTGGATATCTCCTGAGTTTATTTTTAACCCCCACTGTCATCAGTCCAGCCCAGCCTAGCCCAGCCCAGTCTTGGGATACCTCCTTGCCTCTAACCTCCACTAAAATAATTATGTGCACATTGTGTCTGCATATATGTGTGTACCACATGCATGTCTGGTACCTTCTGAGCTTAAAAGAGGGCTTTGGATCCCCTTGAACTGTAGTTATAGCTTCCCATGTAGTTGCTGGGTACTGAACCCAGATTCTTTTTGAGAACAAATGCTCGTAACTGCTAAGCCACCTCATAGCCCTGCCCTCCATTCTGAAGAACGGCTTCCTTCTGACCCTGACTCTTCTCTCAGCTTTGCAGGGCCATGAAGAGCAGCCACGGCACTGTGCTACCCAACCAGAGGTCTGGTTTCATCCTAAGTGACGGATAACCTAGCCATCCTCCACGGTCCAGGCTTCGTGCTTGACCCTTACCCAGTCACGTGACTCTGTGGCCTCACCTTCCTCTAAACCTGTTCACTTCCTTCTGTCTCTTCAGCCTGATACAAACTTCTAGGGCCGTGGTTCTTAACCTGTGGGTCATGATCATTTGAGGGGGTCAAATGATCCTTTCACAGGGGTTGCCTAGGACCATCTGAAAACACAGATATTTATACTACAGTTCATAACAGTAGCAGATTACAGTTATGAAGTAGCAAGAAAAACGTTACAGTCGGGGATCACATGCTGAGGAACTGAATTAAGGGGTACAGCATTAGGACGCTTGAGAACCACTGTCCTAGGGGGGCTTATGACTCATTGTGGACCCCACTGAAGCCCAGACTTAATGTATCTCAAGAAAACGGACCATTCAGAAATGCAGGGCTGGCCTCTGGAGTGCAGCCCAGTGTGCAGTGCTTGGCTGGTGTGTGCATAAGGTGATGGCTTCTAACTTCAGGACCAAGGGAAGCAACTAGAGTATGGTTTATTAGAGCATCTTCCCACTCAGTGCCCTCAGTGGCTCCTGGTTATTAAGATGGCTGCCCTAACTTCTTACTTACAGGGTCCCACAGTTGCCTTTCTCTCCGACGAGGCCATCTGTGTTCGGCCCTTTTTGTTGTAATTTTTATGGATTAAATTTATTGTGGTTTGGCTCCTTGAATTTCCCCCTTATGTCTATCTGGTAAGATATCTTCTAGGAAACAGTAATTTCACATTTATTGGTACAGAGTTACTCACAGTACTATTTATTTTTTTATTATTTTTTATTTTTGTTTTTTTGAGGAAGGGTCTCTGTATAGCCCGGGCTGTCCTGGAACTCACTCTGTAGACCAGGCTGGCCTCGAACTCAGAAATCCGCCTGCCTCTGCCTCCCAAGTGCTGGGATTAAAGGCATGCGCCACCACCGCCTGGCTCACAGTACTATTTATTATTATTAGTTTTATTTTTTCAAGATAAGTTTCTCTGTGTAGCCTTGGCTATCCTATAACTCACTCTGTAGACCAGGCTAGACTCAAATTCAGAGATCCACCAACTTCTGCCTTCCAAGCAGTGGGATTAAAGGCGTGCGCCACCACATCCCAGCCAACACAATCGTCCCTTTTCCCTCCAGTTCTATTTTTAAGCAGTTGATTACTGGTAATTTTACGCATTTTAAACTTCCTAATACCAGGGCTATAGCTCAGTGGGTAGGGCGCTTGTCTTGTCTAGCATGCATGAAGCCATGGGTTCAGTCCCCAGCACTGTATAAAACATGGTGGTACATGCCTGTAGCCCCAAGTTTATTTACATGTGTGTTACTTTCCCCATGTGCCTTGTTCAGGCGCACATATTCCAGTACATGTACATGGAGGTCAAAGGAGAATTCTGGGTGTCAGCCCCCACCTGCCACCTGTCTCTCTTGTCCATTGTTTGCACATGCTGAGGGGACTGTCCCTTGAGCTTTACAGGGTTCTTCTGTCTGCACCTCCCATCTCCAGGAGAGGCTCATCTGGAATCAGAGTCTCTGATGCTACTGAGTTTTGACGATCCAAGCTCAAACTAGGTTGTCAGGCCTGTGTGGCAAGTGCATTACCCACTAAGACATCCCCCAGTCCTGTGACTTTCTCCCTCCACCTATTGTCTGTTGAGGCAGGTGCATAGAATATTGTCAGCCTGTCTTCTGCAAGAACGGAAGTATTTATCCACCCATCCATCCATCCACTCATTCATTCATTCATTTGAGACAAAGTCTCTTTAAATAGCCCTGGCTGTTCTGGGACTCGCTATGCAGACCACGCTGACCTCAAACTCATAGAAATCTGTCTGCTTCTGCCTCTTGAGTGCTAGGATAAAAGGCGTTTGCCACCATGCCAGGCCTAATAATGGAGACTTAAAAATTTCCCTTTAGTTGTGGCTTTTTTTTTATTTAATGGTGCTAGGAAGCAAACCCAGGAGACCACGCATACTAAGTTCATGCTGTCAGTGAGCTCACTGCCTCCGTATCCGGCACACCCATTAGTATATTCAGTTCTGAGCACTCAAGCATGCTGGCGGTTGAACCCAGGGTCTGAGGCATGTTGACACAAATTCTACCACTCTGCTATACTCCTGATCCCAAATGTCCGTCACATGGGTGGAGTCTGAGTTACCTTTTATGGTTGTTATCGTCATTCCCACTCTTTGCTTTGAGACAGAGTTTCACCATCTAGTCTGGGTTGGCTTTGAACTCAAAGTGATCTTTTCCCAAAGCTGCCCCTCCTCCCCGTCCGTTAGTTCTGGAATTCCAGACGTGCTACCAGCTACCATGCTTCCACAATTGGCTCCTGGTTGTAATTCAGAATTACTCTGTAATCCATGTTAGGAACCCTGGACTCCAGTTTCCAGGATGGACCTGCCCTTTGAATCTGGATTTCTGGCTTCCCCTTGACCCTCCTGCTCCTCCATCTTTGGACCTTCTACTCAACTCACAGGCCCTACTTAAAATGGCAGACAAACCCAAACCCCACTTCCCACTTCTGCCAGAGTGTGCGGGCTCACAGGTAGGCATCAGACAAAGCTGCATCATAGTACTTAGGAATCTATTGCGCCTTCCTGTTTTCCTCTCTAGGGCACATGCTCCTCAAAGACCTTGCTCAGCGCCCCGTCCACAGCAGCTGATCAGCGAAGGTGACATCGAATGGCTCGAAAAACATACATTTACTCACTAACATTCATGTTCTAAAGCTGGAGAGTAACACACCATTTCCCCCTTTCGCCTGCAGCTGGATCCTCTGTCACAGTTCCTTCTGCTATGCCTTCAGGTCACTCAGCCCAGCCCGCAGGCTAGACTCCCTGCACTGAGCAGTTCTGCCAGCAGGTGGCACTGGAAGTCCACAGCTGAGCCAGTCTTGGCCCCTGCCGGACTTTTTTGAGGATTCTCAGACACCACCCTCCCAACCCCCGTGGGCTCGGTCTGTTTGAAGCTTGTACCCTGGAGCCAGCACTAGCCTCCGGGGCTCATGAAGTCCCTTCTTCACTATGTGGCAGTAGCCACTGTCCACGTCTCTCCTTTCCCCTGGAGTACATGCTTCAGCCATGGCTGAAACAAGGTGGGGCACCAGAAGCAATTGAAATGATTTTTTAAACAAAGTCACGGAGCTTTCTTAAGTTGCCCTTACTTAGCAACAGTTTCTAGACTCCTCTTCTCGTCTCCTAGGATCATAGTGAACCTCGGGTTAAGGAAGCCCAGTGGCTCCCCTGAAGAGTTCTTGTGGGGAGAAGTGAACGTCCCACCCAGCCCGTGGATGGACTTCTGGAGAATGGGAACAGGGGAGCGGGTGAGCGGGGATTCTGGGACATATTTAAGAAACGCTTTCACTGCACCGATGCCTTGGGCTTAGAGCAACCAGCACAGCAGAGACTGCACTTAAGACTCCAGGCAGAGTGGAGAAGACAGGACGCCTAAGAGGCAGGAAGCTGCTGTCTCAGCGAAGAGGGAAGCCGGCCTGGAGGGAAGGGAGGCCCTGGAGGAAGTGCCCGCCTCTGCCTTCCCGTGCAGGTGTGGACAGAGGCCCCAGCTCTCCTGCTGACCAATAACCCCTGGCTGTGTTCTGAGTCAGGGTGGAGTGTCACCCCGAGGCAGAACCTGGAGGTTCTGGGGAGCTGAAGCAAAGGCTCATAGGAAGGAACTTTGGTCGTTTAACAGATGAGGGAACAGATGGGACGATGTGTTCAGCACCACCGAGTGGTGGAGCTGAATCCATCACACAACATTGCTTCTCAGAATGCACATCCACCATGCCGGGTGCTCATGGGTCTATGTCAGGGACTGTGTGTTAGTCCCGAGGGAGCGCCACTCCAACGGTGGTGGCACCATGCCACCCAAACGTGCAAGGACCTTCACTTTTTGTCTGCGCCTCAAGTTGCTCGTGATTAGACAGCAGCAGTCTTCGGCTAGAACAGGGTCTACTGAGACCGAGACAAAAACCAGGGCCCAGAGGAAAGGCCTCAAAGGAAGAAAGGACACGGAGCTCTTGGGGGTGTTTCCTGCAAAGTGTTATAATTAAAGTGATATTTTATGAGTGTTTTAGACAGAGGGCAGCTAGGCTCTGAGCTGAGCTGGGCTGGGCTCGGCAGGTCCATAGAGAGGGGACAAGGACACAAGGCACGGGGACTCAGCCATTGCTCTAGAGAAGCAGAGTCCCAGAGGAGGCTCGCAGGGAGCAGGGAGGAGAGCCAAACAGCAGGGAGTCTCTGGAGAGCTGCTCAAAGCAGTTCTCAAAGGAATTCTGCTGGGGGCACAGGGCCTTCCTGGAGCCACTAGTATCTGACACAGACCCTTCCTCTGGCCAGGCTTCCTGCCAGCTCAGGGTGCGAGGGTCTATCATTCATCACAGACTTCCTTTTGCCTGCCAGAGTATCCCCAAACTTGCAGCTTAAAAGCAGCGAGAGGAAGATGGCAGGGAGTGTTCTTGTTAATACAAATCCACGGTCAGAGACTGCAGAGCAGATAGGCACCCAGGGCTGGCAGGAGTTGGGAGGGCTCCCTGCATTTACCCGCAGGGCACTTGTTAAGGGAGCTAAGGTCTCTACTTTGAAGACTTGTTCCTGTTTTTGGACCTTTGATCTGACCGCAGACTCAGAGCCTAGCAGAACACTGACTGGGTCACAGAAGGGTGGAGAGCTAAGTCAGTGGAGCCCAGAGGTCACTCCCAGAGAGATGGGGAAGGAGGGCACTACTCCCAGAAGCAGCAGCAGCACAGAGGGCCACTCCAAGGGTCGCGGGGCGCTAAATGCAGGAGGTGGGGATATTATTTGGGGAGAGCAAAGTCCCAGGCAGTTTCTTGGGCACATTTCCACATAGCCTGCATGAGCCGGGTAAAGCCCATGTCCTTGGGCTTCTCCAGGCCTCTCATCAGCCGCTGCTTCATGATGGAAACGAACTCCTTATTGCTCAGCTCCCCATTGCCTGGAGGAGGAGAAAACAGAGGTGAAAGTGGGGACTCTGGGACACTGAGACAATAGCAGCCCTCACACCCTGTGGGCTCTGCAGCCCAGCACACACTCAGCCACTTCCACCCTGGGCTCAGGATGAGCCACCCCGCTCCTTCCCTGTTTCCAAACACAGCCCATAGACAGGAGCGTAAGTCAGGTCTGTGCTGCAACAGAGATGGAGGAACTTTGTGCATTGGTCCCTGGAATACTCCCAGGTTGCGGAAGAGACATTACAATAGTGGGGCAAAGAGGAGGAGTGTGGAGAGGACGCTGTGTGCAGGGGAGCGGTGTGGAGAGGACGCT